GATAAAGTGAGACTATCTCAAAAAAAAATTAAAAAAGAGGCTAAGGAAAAAAATTGATTTGTTTTTACTTAATTATTGAGAATAAAGGAATTCATGTATTATCTCAGTAGAAAATGGATGCTCTCCGTTATTAAGGAACATTGACTAGTAATGACAGTTATTTCTTCCATGATACTTGACTCAGCTGTTTGTGAGTTGTTTGATCATGTTTTATTTCTATTACTCTTTAGGTAACAATGTTTGTTGTTGTTGAGTTTTGAGTTTTAAAGTGTCATCATAAATCCTAAAGAATCATTCAGCACTTACTGCTTTGCCTTCAGGCTCCTGGCACTCAAAGATTTTTAAAATGTTACCCCTCCCAAATACCACCAAAGAATGCCAGTGTTTAGAGTATGCCTTTTCTCCTGCTTCAGTGATTGCTTCTCTATTAAAATTTGGTGTCAGTTACTGTTCTACACTTTTCTCTTGGAAGAATTCAAAATTAACCGTCCAAATACATGATTTCTAAATAAATTGACTTATTTTTTGTTATCTACAGGTCTTTGTCTAATCTTGCTGAAAAATACAATAAAAAGAACAAAAAAGGTACTTAATTTTTGAAATCAAATTCAAAATGGTTGTGATTGATGGATTAAAAGATACAATAAAAATAAGAAAGAAACTGAAAAATAGACTTGTACACATATACACACACATGTGTACAGAATGATTTTTTCATCTAATCTTCTAATTATATCCCTAGGCTACTAAACAAGTCAGTGACTTTCTACTATGTGTAAAACCAGCCTGTTTTTACTCCCAGCTTCTATTCACCAGCCATGCTAATGGAATGCTCTTTCCTTCCTACCCTGTAACTCCCTTTAGTTCCCAACAAATTCTTCTCCATTCATCAAGACGCAGCATAAATATCACTTTTCTACCTGTTCTTCACACCCACCCACTTCACACTGCGTCACCTCTTACCAAATCATAACCAATCACTCCTGTCCAAAATTGTGCTAGATGTTTGATACAGTGAATTCTAACTAACGGCCTCAGCGTATCTGTCCCTTATTAGATTTCTAATATTTGTAAAGTGCTTAGAAGAATATCTGGCATATGAGAAATACATTCTAAGTGATAGGCAAATAGGTAGATCGTGAGCTTCCAGACGAGGACCATATCTTCCTTTTTTAAAAAAAAAAAAATTGTCTTGGGCAGCGCCTGTGGAGTAGGGCGGTGGCCCCATATACCAGAGGTGGCAGGTTCAAACCCAGCCCTAGCCAAAAACTACAAAAAAAAGAATATTTGTCTTTAGTGCCTAACATAGTGATTGGCCTGAGAGCAACTCAGTGAAGTATGGTAGAATATGTGAATTCTTAAATTCAATTCTAATTTCTTAATGTTCTCACCAGGACTTACATTCATTGGTTTTAGGAACTTGAGTTTAATGGTGGTGATCAACTTGTGTGTTCTTTTCTGAGTATGTGCAAAATAAAATACTTCTTTCTGTACCTTGTTTGTGTTGGCTTCTACAGAGAGTGAGAGGTTGAACTAGCTATCTTGTAATGTTCTTTCTGATATTGAAAGGTAATAGTAGACTGTGTAGATAGGTAAACACAGCACTTTGACCTCTGTGACTTGAATGCCTCAAATCTGTGCTGTCAGCAGGGCAAGGATTATTGTCATTCTCTCTGCTGACCACCACTCCCTGACTCCCTACATTATTGAGAAGGACATTTTGGTTTAGAGAACTTGTGACTTACTCAATATCAAAGAACCTTGAGTTCTACTAATTGTTATAGTTTTTGACTTTTCTTTTTAATTTTGGTGGTTTCCTTTCTTCCAAAGCTATATGGCCTCTAAGGTTGTATTGGATTAGATGATTATTATATTGGCCAGATAAAAAGTTTTTTTTTTCCTGTTTTTGTGTTTGTTTTTGGTTTTGGTTTTTTTTGCAGTTTTTGGCTGGGGCTGGGTTTGAACCCGCCACCTCCAGCATATGGGGCCCGGCACCCTACTCCTTTGAGCCACAGGTGCCACCCCAGATAAAAAGATATTTTTAAATTTTTAAATTATTTTTTATTTTTTAGAGACAGAGTCTCACTTTGTCATCCTCAGTAGAGTGCCATGGCATCACAGCTCACAGCAACTTCAAACTCTTGGGCTTAAGCAATCCTCTTGCCTCAGCCTCCCAAGTAGCTAGGACTACAGGTGCCTGCCACAATGCCCAACTGTTATTTTTGTTGCAGTTGTCACTGTTGCTTTAGCTGACCTAGGCCGAGTTTGAACCCGCCAGCCAAGTTCAAACCCATAGCCTTGAACTGCGAGCACCACCTCACCACTGCATCTTGAATACACACTCCTACCAGCTATGCAGCGCAAGTTACTTTCTTACCTCTAGATTCTTTGAATAAGTATTAGGAAGTATATAGGAAGAGGAGATGATGAAATTGAGAGTCTAAATTCAGATATTATAGTACCATTTCACACATTTATCAATAATTTTTTACTTAATTCATGTATTTGCCATATTGGAGCACTATCATGTGCCAGGCACTGGGCTGGGTATTGGGTTTGGGGGAGGAGCCTCCTTTGTAGTGGCATACAAAGTATATGTTCTGTACTCAAGGAGGTTAATGGTCAAGTCTAGGAGCAACAGACATGTAAAAGATGATTTGGGCATAATCTAGTTGGAGCCACATTACAGGTAAGAACTGAAAAGAGCTAGTGATAGATTGCTCAGTAGAGTCTTATCAGAGTATGGAGACAGTGACTTCATCCATAATTTATAAGAGCTCTTATATAAGTCTTTAGCCATGTCAATGAATGAAGATTAAGATGAACAATATGTATTATTATAATGCAAGTTATTTGGTTAATAATCTTAGATTTTCTCTCTTTCAGATAAGCCATGGTTTGATTTCAGAAAGTGGTACCAAGTTATGAAGAAAACTCTTGATGAGAAAAAATATAAATTAGAAGAAGCAAGGGCAAAGTATGTTATCTCCTCTGGTTTAAGATTCACCTACTTTATTTCTGTGTCTGTTACATCTGAAAGCTGAAGTTTGGACTCAGAATGGACTCAGCAGCATTGCAGCATTTTTATTTTTTAGAAATATTAGTCCTATTCTAATTAACTTTTTTCTTTTTCACATTACTAACTAAACACTAAATTCAATTGGATTTCACCAGTGTTTCCATTAATGTCCTCTTTCTGTTCCAGAATCCAATCCAGGGTACCACAGTGTACTTTGCTATTAACTTTTACAATTTGCATGAGTCTCACCTGCATTTCTAACACTCCTTCCTCCTCTCCTTTCTCAATTTGGTCATTTTTCATCTATGATTTCCAATATTAAAAAGATTACAAATGTCACTCTGTGACAGATTAATTGTGGTAGAGTAGAAAGAGCATAGGTTTAGAGATAGTGCAAGGTTTGATCCTGACTGCATTACAGGCAGATACTTTTTATCCTTTAGTTGAGACTTTTAGTCTCCGTGAGACTTTGAAGAAAAAGTTAACATCTGTCTATTTTATGTAAATTAATAATAATACTAATTTGATGAAATAATTTTATTTATTTATTTTTTTGAGACAGTCTTACTATGTTGCCTCAGTAGAATGCTGTGGCACATCACAGCTCACAGTAACCTCAATCTCTTGGACTCAAGAGATTCTCTTGCCTCCGCCTCCCACATAGCTGGGACTATAGGGGCCCGCCATAATGCCCAGCTATTTTTTGTTGCAGTTGTCATTTTTGTTTAGGTGGCCCAGGCTGGGTTTGAACCCACCAGCCTTGGTGTATGTGGCTGGCACCATAACCACTGTGCCCACTTATAGACTGTAATCAAGACCCAATTTTCACATTTCAGACGTAGAATTAGATTATTTTTCTTCTAAATTTCAGAGGGCTTTTCAGTAGAGAAACAGATTCCCAGGGGTGGATAAAGCATCTCTGCCAAAGAGGGAGAAGAGACAGGTGTTAACTAGTCAGATTTGATGGACAGTGATAAAGAGATGGAAGTGAGTTTATTCTGATAGTCTCAGGAAACTGGTCCTTTCTCTTCCCCACCAGAGAAAAAATGGCTCCTTAGTCAGTAGGTCTCAGTGGGCACAAGAATAGCAGTAAGAATTAGAGTATGTTCTGTTTTCTTAGGTCGTCTTAGAGAATCAGCCTTCCTATTTATGGTGCTGGCTGAGGTTAGTCCTAACTGATCCTGAGAGGCAGGGGTTCAGGGGTCGTGCTACTCAGGTATCTCATTGGTGACAAGGTTTCCTTAGCCCAAACCAGCTTCCACTTCAAACATAGCGATTGGAGACCCAATTCATATTGCAGTGGTGTAATCAGTTGCACATCTAAAATTTACTCACTTTTAGCTACTTTAGGAGAGATTTTAATGACCAAAGAAAGTAAATCTAATAATATCAGACATGATAACTCACACCTGTAATCCTAGCATTTTGGGAGGCCAAGGTAAGGAGGATTGCTTGAGGCCAGGAGTTGGAGACCATAAAAAATTAGCTGGGCATGAATACCTACACCTTATAGTTATAGCTACTCAGGATTCTAAGGCCAGAAGATGACTTGAGCCCAGGAGTGCAAGGTTGCAGTGGTATGATTGTTACCACTGCTCTATAGCCTAGGCAAGACCTTGTCTCTAAAGAAGAAAGAAGGTAGGTCAAGTTATAAAACAGCATTTCCTCCTGCTAAAATCCTACTTAATAGAGAATGTGCTATGGGCTAATGTACAGTGTAAATCACTACTAACTAATGGTTGGGCACGAAGCCTCTGTGCATGATGATCACTTGTTCATTTCATCCCACTCTACCCCCATATTGACATAAATTTCTAATTTTTATCTCTGTTCTTCTGAATATCGTCATTCATGTTGTCAGGGGTCTTTTTTTTTTT